GCGCGCGTGCGCTCGCATTCATATACACATATATAAAAAGATATATACACCCTTATACATCGAAAAATGTAGAAGGGTCGTAAAGGAATGAGCCGAGCCTCTGTGGTTTTCTATTTTTCTTTTTCTTCTGTTTATTTTATTGTTTAAAGTAATATTAACTGAATTATGCGTATATACGTTTTTTTAGACCCATGTGTGAAAAACATTATGACAGTAGTTCATACAATTTAAAGAAATTTGTATAATTATAAATAATTAAATATTAAGTAATAATGTTACCATAGTTTATATAAATCTAACATGTATTTAAAAAAACTCACAGCTAGTTTAAAGTTTACAAAATGATTTTTAATTAAACTAACTAAAATTATTTTCATATATAGAATAAATATATTGCAAAAAATGTAAAATATCTCATTACTCACATTAAACATTACTTAAAAAATGTTTTTAATATTCAAGGAATAAGTAAGTTATATTAAAATATGAATGTTATATTACGATTTTGTTATAAGTTTCATTATACAATCCTAAAATAATATATTGATATTTGAATTTGTTTTTATTTGATAAGAAAATTAGATACTTAAATTAAATAAAATTTATAAATTATAAAATACTTTAATAATATATGACACTTTATATAAGAATTTTAATATTAGAGACTATTTAGCATCATACTTTGCAACTTATTTTCTTATTTTCTTTAGAATCATTAAATGAATAAAAAATTAGACAAAAATTTATTTATTCAATCAGTTTAATTAAAATAACTTCATATAACTTTATAATGAGTACCTTCCTAAGTTGTTCTTAAGAATCCAACAAGACTTGCACGTTGGTGATTTTTTCTAACTTAGCATTCTCTCTTCATCTACTATGAGCATTGGTTTTATCAACTGTAAAATGAAGAATCAATTGCGTAACGAAGCGTGGCGCTCTTATACGAATGAGCGTAACGATAAAGTCAGTCGAGAACATAGATGCAGAAAGGTAACTTTGGTGTGTGTGAGAAAGAGAATAAGAGATAGGGAGAGAGAGAGAGAGATAGAGAGAGAGAGAGAGAGAGAGATCCGCTCGACTACTTTTTGCCCCCTTTTGCAAGTTCTGATGGTTTAACAAGTGAGAGAGAACAGCTAGCTATCCGCATGCAACCCCATAAACATCATATATACTTCCCTCTTCCCTTACGATCACGCATACTAATACGCATGTATACACACTTTCTCTCTTTATTTCTCGTTTTACATTTATCTATTTCTATTTCTATCTTTCGGCTTCTTTCTTGTAACTGATGCTGAAACTCTTGGTAGGGCGCACGCGATGTTTCCGGTGAGCCGTTAATGGACCACCACACCCATGCCGAATTTTTCAGCTCATTTCCAAATTGATACGCTCCCCATGCCATCTTTGAGATAGTGTGCGAGTGCTGCTTTATTGAAATTACCAGATGCTTTTTATCAAAGTTTATGATACGCGGTTCACAATTATTTTTAATTTTAATACTTATTTCTATCTACATTTACAAGTAATTAACGTTTATAATTCTTATAAGATAATTTTATTTCGATGTTAAATATGAAAAAATTGATATAAAACAAATAATAAATCGAATGAGACTTACATTCATTTAAATAATATATAAATATTATACTTTTTTAATTAATAGTTATTATATGCCTATTAGAGTACCGTTTTTGGAGTTATATTATTATAAATTACTTTATTTTAAAAACTATTGCACGTCTTAATTTTAATTAAATTAGAAATATTATAATTAATACATAATATTTTTCCCCTAATTTTCTTTATTTTTATTATTTAATAATTAAATTGAATGAAAACATTAATTGTAGAAAGACGAGGCTCTACCAACTCTTCCAGTACCATGCTTGGAAGCTACAATGCAAAAATATTTGGCCCAAGTTGAAGCGGTTGCTCCGAATTATTTAGAAAAGACACGAAATCTTGTTAAAGCTTTCCTCACTGGGCCAGGACCAAAACTGCAACAACGTCTTATAGAACGAAGTCAGAAAGTAACTAACTGGGTAAGTTGTTAATTGACGTATATTATTAAATCAATTATCTATTGATTTATATTATTTCTATTCATAGTAAATGTTAAATTAAACTTAAGAATGTATATTTAATTATGATTAAATTCATTATTAAATTAGCAATAATAATTTTTTTAAACGTTATATGTGATTTTTTAATTATTTATTTTGAATTAAATTTCTACATTTTTTCTTAATTTTTGTATAAAAGTTTAAATCGTATGTTTTAATTTGTATGAATTTCTTTATAATTTTATATTATAACATTTTTAAAAATAAGGTTAATATTTATTAAAAGCATTTTCATATAGATAATTATATTTTTCAAATACAGGATATTTTGAAAAATGCCTTGTAGAAACTATTTCCTTTTGAAAGATTAATGAAGAAACTTATTATTTTTCCTTAGAATTTGAAAATGTGTATGCAAGAAATTCAAAAACATTTCATGTTATGAAATAATCTTCTACTGTACAGTATTATAAATGCACAAGCTATTATTCAAATAAGTAATGATAAAACTTTTTTTAGGTACTGACGTATTTAAATATCTTAAAACATTTTTCGATAAACTAAAATTACGTATTTTTAAAAATAAATCTTCTATTGTGGAATCGAATCAAGAAATACGTTCATAATAGTAAGGAGATGCATATTTGAGTATGTAAAGAAAATTCCAAATAAATTCTTGAAATACGTGTAAACAGTGATTTAGAATTACTCGATAGTAGAAGTAATATTATAATATGAATAATAATGATAAGATATATTTTTTTATTTCTCGTGTTTTGACGATAAAGATAAAAATATTATTAGGAAGCAAATTTAAAATTAAGTAAATTATGAATAGTAAGGCAATGCATCTAAAGGTAAGCGTTATCTCCTTTGTGCCGAATCTATTCTTTTAAACTTCGAACGTATTTTCATACAGTTGGACAGATAAATAATCCTCTAGAGTAGGCAGGCGAGGATAAAATAAAAGAAAACACAGTAGGTAAAAGCTAACAAAAGCACAACACAGGACGGAGGGCTAAAGTTTCCCCGAGTACTTGTTATTAAAAATTCGTCGGGGGAATAGGAAGCTCTTGCCCCGATCTCTTGAAATAAAGAGACAGTGCCGCAGGGGAAAGCGCCACTAAGTGGCTCAACATCGTTTCGGTTTCAGGACGACGAAGACTATTCTGTCGCGCGCGCCCTTCCGAGAGCAGTCGAGACCGCCTGTGCGCTCGATAGTTAACGTAGGCGCCGAAACGTTACCCACGGAGTTTAAGTGTCGAATGGAGGAGCATCGTTTCTTCTCACCACTGTCCAACTCCTTTTTTTTCAACTTTTACTTGTTACAATTGACAAAGTCTCGTTGCAGTCAAAATTTATTTTGATTATTTATTATCATAATTTCATGCGCAATTAAGATTTTTCCAGTCTCCATTTCGTCAAGTGTTCAGCTCGGTGCGGTAATAAAGAAAAATCCCTTGCTTAAGTTACAATTCATATTCATCCTTCAATATTTTATCGGCTCTAAAAGTATACTAAATATTATAATCTTGCAATTCTTGGATAGATCATGAATATTGACAACAAATATTGTTTAGAGAAGGTTTGATTCACGATGAATATGAAAAAACTTAAATGAAGGTAGCTTACAAATATGTTAACGTTTTAATAAAATTTGTTGGAGCTATGATTTTGCAAAATAATTAAAATTATCACAATGAAAAGTTATGACATAACAGAGAATATTAATAAAATCTTCTACAAAATTTTTATTAAGTTATACATTATTTATAATACTAACTATATTAAATCTCGTGATCGTATAACTATTTACATCACTACAAAATTCTCAACTTATTCCTAATTTGATCAATAGAAATGGTTTAATGTTTAGTACAATTGTTTAGATGGACTATTTACATGAATTCTAAAATTATATATAAGAATATAAGTTGAAGTCTTGTTTTTCTTTATATTAATTTTTTCTTTTTTAATTATCAACTTGAATCAAAACAAATATTTAAACACTATATTTTTATTTTTTTGTAGAATTACTTTACATTCTTTAATAATCATGTCAGTTATTGGTTTGTCAAATTACATGAAAGTTTACAAAAATCAAAAATAAAAAAAAATTATAGTGAACAAAAAAAAACGTGTTTATTGATAGAAAAAATGTTCTCATACGTACGAATTCGGTATGTATAAAAGCAAGACATCGTCTTCCATCAGATTTTGAGAGAGTATGCGTACAAATATATGTATATACGTTACGAGACTTGCAGGAGAGCAATTCCCTTGGGAAAGACTGCGCGACTTTGCCGAGGGTTAGGACTGAGCGCAGCGATCTACCCTCAGCTAAGGTCATAAATAAATAAATAAATGGATTTACGGGAGTAGAAGTCGAATCGACGTAAGCGCATGTGGTCCATGCCGAGAAATATAAGGAGTATTTATGTCTTTTCTACATATATATGTGCAATTTAAGTGTAATTTTCTTTCATATTACTTTTGTTCTTTACATTTGATTATTTTAAAAATTTCATTATATATTTATATTAATATTTCCAATGTGATATATAATTTGAAAACATTTTCCTTAAAAAGGTTTAATTTATTAAACTAAAAAGTTATACAACCGTTAGTGGTTATCTTATCTTATACGATTTAGATTTTAACAATAAATAATGAAATTTCTGTTGCTTAGCAGCACGTAAAATTACAGTTAATCTTAATACATCAGAATAAATAACTAGCAAATAAATAAATAACAATCCATTAAAATTTATTTTAAAATATATTTTCAATGAAATATCATAGGTATATAGTTAATATATGCTTAATAAATCTTTTTTTATTAAGGGAAGTAAACTTATACAGATCATCAAAGTATTTTAAATGTCGATTATTTTTATTTTACGACCAAACTATTTATAAGTATTACTATATTATACTGAGTTATAATTTATAAATAAAACATAATTAAAACATAAATTTATTAAAAAAATTATATTATAATAAATTGTGTTTAATAAAAAAATTTTCTTATTTTATAAAATTAGAGTAATTGATGGTACTTTTAAATACAAAAATAAATGCTTAATTATTTCATTGATAATTTATAATAAAAAATAAAAAATAATAAAATAAAAAATTTTTAAAAAATTAAAAAAATTAAAAATATAATAACATTGATTATTTTATAAATTTTTATGATATAAATAATTAATTTCCTTAATAAAACACCAGTTCATTGTAACTTGTTTATTGAATAAAAAAAGACTTTCGAAAAATATAGATTTTACATATCTTAATAGTTGCATATTATGAATTTTACTCAATTGAAAAAAAAATTTATTTTGAAATTCGATTAAAGATGGAACACTTGAGCACACCTGTTTAGTTTCAAAGATTTGGTATAACAAAACTAATAATGTAGGAAAATAGTGATGATAAATGTATAGAAATAAGGAAAAAAAATATCTGTGAAAATTAATTTTGTGAAGATAAAAGTATGTCTATTGTATTTAAAAGGAGTTGTTTTATAATACTACTTTTCACCTATCATGGTATCAATTCCAAGTTCCACCAAATGAATGAACGGGGTTCCGGTACTAGTAAATATAAAAGAAAAATATAAAAGAAAAATAAGGTGAATAAATGAAAAGGTGGTCAACACAACAAAACGAAAACTTTTTTTTCTAAATTTACTATAGTAATTTGAACTTTTATTACGATGTAATTAGACATTTTGAGGGAAGTTCCTGAAAATATCGTTGAGATTGGAAGTTAAAAATTTAGTGAAAGTCTGTACTTCTATACATATTTGATAAAAGAATAATTTGAAAATTAGATATCCAAGTTTTCCAAATACGTTGTTATAAACTTGCTTTGTGAAATATTGTTGCTAATTATTATTAATTTTGATATTAATTTGTAGTATTTGGGTCTTACATATAAATGATTTTACTTTTTTACATTTTAATATATATTTTCGATAATATAAATATATTTATTAATATTAATGATAAAATAATGTAATATAAATATAATAATGTTATTATATTTACATTACGATTAATATTAATTTAAATATAAGAAACGTTTATAAAATAACATTTACGTTATTGAATAATTTGCAATTATTAATAAAAATTATTTCACTTCAAATAATAATATAAATGCATACAGTGGTATATACAATATTATTTATAATGTATAAAATGCAAGTATTTAGTAATTTAAAATTTGTATAATGTTATATTAGACATACACGCACACGTGTACGCGCGCCTACATAGATATATTCAGAAAAATGTAAAAATAATTACTAAATACTTGTAATAACTATATAATGTTTAATTAAAACATTAAATCCTGTACAACGTCAAGACTTATATGATAATGTACTTAATTATTAACACATATCTTAAAAATCGCTTCATATAATATTATTATTATTATTTAATAATGTACATTCAGAAAAATATTATGAATAGTAAAATGATAGCAATATTTCTCAGTCATAATTATACAATTAAAAGAGCTCATTAAATTAAAATTTATGAATCATTTTCAGAAATTGTTATAAAATTCCACGTAAAATGAAACATTCAATTACAAATAGAGAAAGAAATTTGTACTGAAAATAATTGTATACATATAATTTTTAATATGTACTCAGGAAAAAATTGTACAATATTTTGTAATTTCTTTAAAAACATGCGTTGATGCTTTGTTAAAGAAGTTATTATGCAAAAGTAAGATGGAAAATACGATTGATTTATTAATTCGAGTGTTTGTTATATGAACTAAATTTTATGCCGCGACACAAAGTTGATAGTGTAATGAACAACAGAAGTTTAAATCAAATTCTCCACGGGACGTCCTTATATTAGCTACGAAGTGGGTATGATATTATTAATAACCAAATTGTGCCCCTGAGTCTTTTGAATTTCAACAAAATTTCAATTTCGAATAGCTATTTTCAGAAACAT